ATTATATTTGATATCTCAAGGCTGTGGCATAAGGTGTAATCTATAATTATATTCAGTTATTTATGTTAATTGACATTCAATCAATGGACATTTACTTGACACATTCATTTTTTTTTTTATATTATTATTATTATTATATTTATTAATAAAAATTACTTTGGGAAAAGTACCCTTTAGAAATCTAAGTTCAAAACAGTCACTGAGCACTAATTTTATCCATGGGCAATTCAACCAATCGACATCGAGTTGATATATTTGTCATTATTTTATTATCAATAAAGATAAGTCAAACTAGTAACAAAAAAGTCGCCAAACCCCAATTTTAGCAACAAGCATACTTAATCATTTTCTAACTGATGTATTTAACCATAACATGGTATTATTTCATTTAAATTATTATGAATATTTATTCTTTGCTTAATTTTTTTTTTTTTTTATTATTGTTTTATTTTTTTATTTTTTTGAAATTTTTAAAACAAACTTTTTTACTAAAAATGTACAATGATTAATCTTAATAGAAATGTAATCAATAACATTAACTTAATTTATTCATTCTTTTTCTATCTTTAAAGATAATTCAATCTGGTAATTGAGGAAAGGTCCTTTGGAACATCTCGCTACAAACAAGTCACTGGGGCCAAATTTTGGCCAAAAGCGTACTTAGTCGTTTTTCTGTACTCCATAGCATGATCCGCCAATCCCTAAAAAACACCTAAGTTCCAAACAGTCACTAACCCCTAATTTTGTCCACGAACTAACCGAGTCTCTACTAATTGACATTCAACCAATCGACAACGACTCGATATTTTTGTCATTATTTTATTATCAATAAAGATAAGTCAAACTAGTAACAAARAAGTCGCCGAACCCCAATTTTAGCAACAAGCATACATAATCATTTTCTAACTGATGTATTTAACCATAACATGGTATTATTTCATTTAAATTATTATAAACATTTATTCTTTGCTTAATTTTATATTTTTATTTTGACATTTTTAAAACAGATTATTATATTAAAAATGTATAGTTATTAATCTTAATTGACATTCAACTAATCGACATCTACTTCTTTTATTCATTATTTTTCTGTCTTTAAAAATAATTCCATCGAGTACTTGAGGAGAGGTTCCTTTGTAACACTTCAGTCCTCAGTACAAAAAATTTACCAATCCCCAATTTTAGCCACAAACATACTTAAGTTATTTTCTAACTGATGTCTTTTTCTATTAAATTATGAGAATTCATATGAATTATTATAAATATTTATTCTTTGCTTAATTTTATATTTATATTTTGACATTTGTAAAACAGATTATTTTGTTAAATATTTACAGTTATTATTCTGAATTGACATTCGACCAATCGACTCTGACTTGATTTAATTTTTTCTATTTTTAAAGATAAAGTGTACAATGACTCTAAAAAAAAGTACCTTTACATTTAGATATTTTGTTTTACAGATATTAATCTTAATCGAAATATAACCAATCGATATAGCCTTGATAAGTCAAACTAGTAACAAAAAAGTCAMCGAGCCCCAATTTTGGCAACAAGTATACTTAATAATTTTCTAACTGATGTATTTAACCATAACATGATATTATTTCATTTAAATTATTATTAATATTTATTCTTTGCTTAATTTAATTTTTATATTTTTGTTTTGACATTTTTAAAACAGGTTATTATACTTAAAATGTACAGTTATTAATCTTAATTAACATTTAACCAATCGATATCGACTGAATTTATTCATTATTTTTCTATCTTAAAAGATAATTTATTCTATTACTTAAAGATATGTTCCTTTGTAACCTCTCGATACAAAAAATTTACCGATCCCCAATTTTAGCAACAAGCATACTTAGTCATTCTCTAACGGATGTTTTTAACTATTAAATGATGAGAATTCATATGAATTATTATAAGTATTTATTATTGGCTTGGTATATTTAATTTTTTGATATATTATTGTTTTATTTTGACATTTTCAAAAATATTATTTTGTTAAATATTTACAGTTGTTAATCTTAATTATTGTCATTGACTTGATTTATTCATTTTTTTCTATTTATAATAATAAGGCAAACGATGACATTAAGAATAGTACTTTTGGGGAACCTCGTTTGAAAAAGTCATCTAGTCCCACTTTTGTCCACGGTCTAAGTTATTTACAAACTGAATTTTTCGACGATAACGTGATATTATTTCATATAAATTATTAAAAATATATATCCTTTTTTTAAATTTTATTTTTAATATTTTTATTTTGACATTTTTAGAAAAGACTATTTTACTAAAATATTCACAGTTATTCATCTTAATTGACATTCAACCTATCGTCATTGACTTGATTAATTTATTTTGTTTCTATTTTAAAGATACAGTAAATATTAACTTGGGGAAATGTACCTATGGAAAACCTTGGTTCAAAAAGACACTGCAGAGTTCCAATTTTGTCCACAAACATACTAAGTCATTTTCTAACTGATTTTTYGACTAAATGTTGTTGATATATTATTCAAATTATTTTAATTATTGATTATTTTTCAATTTATTTATTTTAGTTATAATAATTAGTTATAACCAGGGTTTTGGTTATTTTTTACTTTTTTGTTTTATTCTAGTAACAGAATATTTAACTAAATATTTACAGTTATTAATCTTAATTAATATTAAAACATTCTATATCAACTAGATTTATTAATTTTTTATCTTTTTTAAATGAAAGTTAAATAATAACTTGAAGAAAGTTACCTTTGCAGGGAACCTCGGTTTAAAAAACTCACCAAGCCACAATTTCGTCCAGGGACTAAGTTATCAGCAGACTCGAAGTTAAAAACTTCTTTTGACTTTTACATGATAATATTATGTCATTTGAATTATTTGAATTAAATGCTACATTTAATTTTTTTACATTTTTTACRATTATTATTGACTTTTWATTTTTTTAATTTAGTCAATTCATGTTTTGACTTGGGGTCATATATCATACATCAATATCATCGAGAACCCAAATTTGGTTCAAAGATAATTTCTTTTAGAGACAAAAATTAACAATTGTATGGACTAGGCCTATTGGGGATACCATGTAAAAAAAAACGCGCCCAGCTTCTACCTCAACGGTGGTGTGGAAACGAATGCGTTCTTATTATCATTGTATTATACTTTTCAGTTTGTTAATAGTAAATGTAATGTTCATAATATACAACAAATTCTATTAAATTGTTATATATTTAATTAACCCGTCTAATAAATAATTACCAACTCAATGATTATTGTCTTATTATTGAATTTCCCATAATAAACGAGATTTTCAAAAAAAAATTTTTTCGTGACCTTTAATTTAAGCTAAAATTCAGCTTGATTGAATTTTTCCGTGTCAAATACTAAATAGCGAATATTAAAAGATATAAAATAATTGTATAGTCTGATATAGGTGTCAGAAGACCAACGTGATTATCAACGCATTTTGGGATTTGATGATCCGATCCAGTCACGTCTTTATGTTAATCATCTAAATACTGCCTCATACAGTGCAGACCTATGCAGCTGAGGAAGGTTAAAATTGATGGAACTTAATAGCTCTGGACAATCAGTGTAACCATTTATAAATTTGAATAAACATTTTAAATCTATTTTTTTCTTGTATCTGATAAGCAATCAATACGAATAAATTTAATAATGGCTGGTAAGGAAAATGAAGCTCATGGATAATATTACATTTGGAAGCTAAAAACGTAAGAAACGATTTTAAACATTCTTTAAGCAGTGAATTTGATATTTTAAGTAAGTGGACCAAACCACATATTTATACTCTAATTTAGCAAGGACTAATGAAGTCAATAAAAGCAAATATAATAATAGATTGCTGAAAATGAAAAGTTAATTGATGAAAATATTAAAAATTGAATGACTGCCAAATTTTGAACTTATTCAAAACGTATGTTAAAAATTCATACCATATTAATTTTTTGTTTCTATTATATTCTAACATGTGAATATGTGATCGAAATTATTATTATTTTTATTCTATAATTATTAGCTTTGATAAATACGTATACAGCATGTATAATGTATGTAGACTGAGTAACAAGGATATTCTAGACAGTCCAAATATGAATAAAATTGGAAAGAAATTGTTGTTGATTGAATGTTTGAATGTATACTATAATGATTGAATATTTTTATTTTTACGTGAATAGTAAATTTAATGCATAATTTGACAAAGGTTAAGTTTTCAAAGTTCTAAATTCAAACTTAAAAAAATCACTAACCAGTGAAATATGGAGGTAGTGAAAACATTTCCGGACGAAAATCTTCTAGAGAGTTTAACACATACGTAGCATTGGCGGTCGACATGTTATGCCATATTGACAATATGGGATCAGGTACCATGACCACTTGCATGCCGGCTGCTAATGCCGCAGTCACTCCATTCGGCGAGTTTTCAAACACCAGAAACTATATAAATATTTTATAATAATATTAATATGCACATTTACTATATATAATGTGATTATTATTTTTCATGTGATAATTATCATAATTCAATTCCAATGTGTATATACTCCGGCCCACGAGAGACCAGTGCCGTCACGCGCAGACTGAGAACAACCCGACAACCGTCAGCAACGGAATTTCCCCCACCATGTGCCGTAATCGTGGCGCGTTACACAGGGGATGCGCAGAATCGGACTATTTTTGGTCGAATAACGGTACGGATCTCTCGTGGGTCGGAGTATAAAAAAAAATAGAATTAAAATTATTTAAAGTTTGATTTTATACCGATCGTAATTTGTATATATTATTATTTTTATATTTAAAATAAAATATGTTGGTAATCTAAAAGTTTGAAGTGGCATGATCGCATGGGTAAATTATCACAATGAATATGTATTAATATTTCAACAATCAACTTTAAGATAGTATATATTTCTTTTGATACCAAAATTCATTGAACTCACGAAAATGTTCAAATTATTTTAAGTTCGAAATAATATTAAAAATTGTAATAGATAATCCCCACAATTTTTTCTGCCTTAACAAAAAAATAGTTACAGGAAAATTATGCTATTTATAGCCATGAGATTTTGCGAAACCATATCACATTTAGCAGATGCACCTGATCTTTTTTCATTTAMAGTCTTGAATAAGATACCTAAACTAACGCTTAAAACCGGTAACCGGTTTGTAACGAAAACCGGTAAAAAACCGTAAATTTGAGAACCAAAAACCGATAACCGCTTTTAGTTTTGGAAACGGTTATTATTTATCGGTAATCAAGGTAAATATCTAAATATTAACATCAAAGCGCTATTACCTCGTATTTTCAATCCCGGTTTTATAATTAAAACCTATTCCCGACTAAAAAATTAACGGGTTTTTCGTGGAATTTAGTAATTTAATTATGTCATGATTACATTATAGTTGAATTTTATTTTCCAGCTATTTTTAAATTTTTTTCCCCCAATTATTTTCCGTCGAGTATAGCTTATCTGTTGTGAATATCACATATATATATATATATATGTATAAGTACAAAGCTCAAATCCTCCTGACTGCATTTGTTATTTGCAGTATTTACTCCAAGGGTTGGTCCGAAGGCTAGCGTAGAATGTTCGATCTGCAGACCCAGGTTTTGGGGTACTGCAATATATTATATAATATAACCAAAAACTTCTGTGTCAATGTATCACTTTTAGTGTCATCTTGAAAAATTATTATTTTTATTTTCGGTTTTTTACAGTTATAAATAAGAAAATTATAACAATAAACATTTTTTATGTAATTTATTTTTTTGATTTATTAAAATCCCATTATTTCGATCATATGTTTTAAACTGTTTTAAAAATATGATTAAAAAATTTTTAAAAACCTGTTTTAACCGGTAACCGATTACCAAAAAATCTTATCAATGGTTTTTAAACGATCAACAGTTATCATAGTATTTGAAATATTTTTAAAGAAACGTTTACCGGTTACCAAAACATCACAATTAAACAATAACCGGTTACCGGATTTCAAWWATTTTAGACCCATAACGGAGCCGATTAACGACTTTATTGAGAACGGTTTTAAGCCCTAGCTGATGTCCTAACTAAAAAATTTCACGATGTATTTATTAATACCTTGCTATTCGCGGGATTTTCCAGAAACCTAGAAGCACATATTTTGTAGATGTCTGGCGCTGGTTTGCCGTTTTTTACCTCGGGGTCGGAAGAACTAATGACTACATGATGGAATACAGAGAATATGTCCTTCAGATGATCCGTTTTCACGTGGAAACTCTCCTCCGAACTACTCGTTGTCATCGCCATAGKTATCTTGTGCCGGTGGAAATGCTCCAAGAGATCTTCGACTCCTAAATAGCTATCACATATTAAATACTACCTATAATCTATATATATATATATATACAGGGTATCCTGCGAGGATTTACCCATTGCGATATCTC